GTAACTGGAGGATATTTGAAAATATTAATGTAGTGAAACACCATAACTCTCCATGAAATATCACTCAGAGGCTTAAAACATTGTGATCATTCACAAAATAATTACATCCATAAAAAGTCAATACCTCCCTGAAGACTATTGCAGTGCACCAAGATTTATATGTTTTCCACATTACATGAGTGAGGTTAACTCACCTATCGTACATAATAAGTCCAGCAGGGCTAAGGGAAGGAATGAGGCTTGAAGAACACTCTACATTTCTATTAGCCTTTTAGAGAACCATCTTTACGAGATTTATATACAATAAAGTGAACCATCTACACTATTAGAATGGTGTTTTACAACTTACAGGTTGAAGTATACCTTAGGTATATGAACACTTCTGATTCCTGGACTAAATGAGCCCAAATTCCTCTCTAAGAAGGATAGGCTAAATTCTCCATTTCCTCAATTTCTTTATTTTATCCCAGTATCTCATCATCTGCTTACTTTAAGAGATGTAATATGTATAATTTTGTCATTTAATTATGAAGCCCTTTTTTTTCTTTCTCCGTCTATCATTCCAAAATCCTTTGGAGTTGTGAAGTTCCAGTCATTTACTTATCTATATATTGTAATTGTTAAGTTAAAACCCCTTTAAGCCACAGTATCCTAATTTGGAATTTGGAAATGATGATATTTATCTTATAAGACTGTTAAGATAATTCAATGAGCTTATTACATAAAAATGGTTGTGGAATTTTGAAAGTCAATTCTCTCTCTTTTCACTTGTGGGTCACTAGGATCCAACTGAACACATATTGTGTTCCCTAAAGTGGCACATGCTGGCCTCAGGACCTCTGGCTTTAAAGTTAAAGGGCAATGGGCAAGCTCTTTATGAGTAAAAGCAGAGGTCAGACTAGTAAGCATCATTTTTATTTTAATTGACCTTGGTGAAAGACTGGTTAAATTGTTTGGAATTTTGACCTCTGGCTTGGTGACTTGGGAGAACCCAAAGCTGCCTTTAGTTTGCCTGAAGTGAAAGCTTCATTTAATGGCCAGCTATGGAGAGGAACAGATTTGTGTTCCAGACTCCATAAAATCTTATTTGGCTGCCTGGTCACTGTGACATCAGAACTGCTCTCTAGAAACTACTTACCCCTTGTCTTCTTCTCCATGGTATGAACTCAGTGGGTTACAATAGCATTGATGGCATTTTTCTGAAGACTTCTATTGGGGTGGATATAGACTTGGAACATGTATCACTAATCTGGAGATGGGTGTCGATACCACCTGAAGATTCTCAACCCCATTCTGTGAAAGCCCACCCTCAAAGCTCACTAGGTGCTGCCCAACTCTCAAGTGAGGAAAACACAAGCAAGGCAACCGCTGGTTGGTGGCATGGTGAGTGGGAGGTGGGGCTCTCTGTGGCCTGGCTTTGTCAGAGCCGACGCTGTCATTCTGCTCTGAGGAGGAGCACTCTCCATGGATCTGCCTTGTTTACTAACTTACAATCCGGGACTTAGCAAAAGGTCCCAGAGATCAGGCACTGAAAATGCCAATTTGAACATTGCATTATTACAATGATTATTGATCTCTTCACTTAATGTTTATGTAACATTGGCCAAACCTTCATCACTTTACACAGCATAAAGGCCGGCAATGCCATTCATTATGTTCTCTAAGTAAAGAACTATTTTCTAAATAGAAATGCAACTTGATTTTAACCTAAAGGTCAATCTCATCGTTGACACAGAATTATAAATGAGGCCATCTTAAAAGAGAAAATAATCAACTATTAATTATTTAAAATGCTTAATGATGCATGAAATTTGTTACATTTCCAAGTGCATTTCTAATTGAATATGCACAGATGATAAAAGCCCTAGAATCTAAATCAGCTATTAATTTCAAACCAAAATATATTTGAAATTCAGCACTCTGAGCTTCTATTTTTCAAAACGTAAAGATTTTGAGGAATCTATGGCTTGCCTTCACATTTTATTTATGTCTACAAGTTTCAGTAATATGAACCTGCTTAAATTTGAAAAGAAATAGCATAGTTATCCTTGCAAAGGTTTTAGAATTTTAGAATAACTTTAAGTCAATATTGTTTAAAAGCAATTCAGCTAGCTTTTTGGAATATTATGTTCAAATCTTTTCACTAACAAAATTAGAATAAATCCCAGCAAAAGATGTAAAAGAATGAGGTCACTGTGTTTAAATATTGTACCTTATGTGAGTTCAAAAAAAAAAAAGTAGATGTTTGAAAAACACAGTTAACCTTTGGAAAGAAAAAAATGCCACATTCACATTAGGGAATGGGCAAACTTAACTAATAAAAATTTATAGCCCTGGAATGTTTGCAAAAAAAAAGTCTCTCCAATTTGAAATGTCAGAATAATCTCAGATCTCCTTTTAAGCAATTTGTTAAACTTTAAATGGTAATAAATATTAGATTTAATAAGTGGAAAATTCTCAAGTAAGAATAAGGCTACTGAAGTACATTTGAAAGACGTATCTTTCTAAATTTCAAACATCTGTTTGTTTGTTGATTAAATTATTTATTCATCCTTTTAATCACTCCTTCAGCAAACTGGATGGCTCCTAGATGCCAGGCATTGCAAGAAATGAACTAGACTTTACTGACATTAAAACTAAATAAATAATGTCCCTTTTCTCAAGGCCCTCACAGTCTTGAATGTAAGACCCATGTGAGTAAATATGTAAATGACATGGCAAGTGCATTAATAGATTACGTGGCATTGATTGCTAACTATTCCATTAATACAACCCCACTTTTTGTTGTGATATGAAAAAAAGACATATTTTCCCAGATTCATTTGCTTCTAGATGTGGCCATGAGAAAAGATTTTGGTGGTTAGATCTAAAAGGAAATGTGTAGGGACTTCTTGGAAATCACAGATAGGGTCATGTTCTTCCTCCTAAGTGGAATGTGGTCGTGAAGGCTGAAGCACCTGCGACTATTTTGGGCTCTGAAGTAACTCTGAGCATACACAATATGCCAGGAGCCAGAGGTGAAAGTGGGAAGGTGTCTCAATCCCTGATGACTATGGAACTTCCAAAACAGCCCTGAAGGCATCATCTCTGAACTTTGTGTTGTGAAATAGAGAAAATATACTTCTACTTATTTTGGGGTCTTTTGTTATAGAAAATAGAATTCAATTCTAATAATGTAGTATGTTTGATTATTACAAGCTAGTACCTTATAACCTTCCACATATACTCAACATGATTGTGATACACAAGAGATTCAACAGTAGAGAAAATAGTCTCCATTCCCACAATTTGTCACAGGGAAAGACAACAAAGAAATACATATAATAACATAAAAAACATAATCCTGAATAGGATATTATTTCTGAAGAAATGATAGTCGTGGCCCCAAACACAGAGCAATAATCCAAAGGAAGACATGAGTAGGGAAAGTATTCACTGTGGAGTCCTGATGAGCAGAACTTTGATTAATGACTCTTTCAAAGCTTCTACTGGAGCGCGGATCATCCAGGCTAATGGTGGCACATGTGAGGGCAGAGGGACACAGGACAGCCTGGCACTTTCCAGGGCATGCAAATAATTTACTTTGTGCTGGGCAGAGGGTACCTATGGCTGTATTCTGGGGTTTGGGAGAGAGGTTGGAATGAGTCCATCAAGTTACAAAGGACCTTGGGAAGATTGTGAAGATGCTTAGAAAAGTTGGCATAGATGTGGGATTTAAAAGATTATTATTTATATTTTTAGATTTTAATATGCCTTTGGAAGACATTGAATAATTCCATTATTTTACACAGAACTTTGAAAGCTTTCTATATTTACAGTCGAATCAGTTATAACCCAAAATTTATACAGTACTTGATCTGTGTGACACATTGCTCCCGGCTTTGTATTTAGTAATTTATTTAATCCAAAAACCAATCCTATAAGCCTTTGGCCACATGCTGTTATTTGGCCACGTGCTGAGGCTCAGAGAGGAGAATAACCAGGACTAAGTCACTTGGCTAGGGAGGGGTGGAGCCAGGATTTGAATCTGTGCCCTTACGCACCATGAACAACTGTCAGTCTCCATGAAACTAATAGTCCATTTAGATTCATGTCATAAGCAAGAAATGCTTAAATTTCCATAGCACTTAGGATTTTGGAAGGTCAAGGGTCATAAATAAGTTTTACTATTATCCTGTGACTTTGTTCTATCCCCTTCCACAAAGAAGCCAAGATTCAGAGGGGTAGAGTGACTGATCTAGTACCACTCCGTGAGATGCCCCAGCTTTCCTCAGAGACTTAGAGACTTAGAGTCTCCTTAGAGACTATTGATAGTCTCTAAGTCTCAGTTTCCTCATCTGTGAAACGGGATTAATAATAGCACCTAACTTAAGGCCTATAGGATTGTTTTCAGGATTTAATAAACTTCACCCCTAGTAAAGCACTATCACTCCTCTACCAAAGATAATTCTTTACTGAAAATGCCCAAAGGTAAGCATTTAAAGCAGTGTAACTCCAAGCTGGGTCTCAAAACAGGAGCCTGAAAGCAGACCTGTCAACCGGAGGCAACAGTGGCCCAACAGAGATTACCAGAGGCCGATCTCAGACAGTTTCCCGGGAAAGAGGCTGGCAGTTCATCAAAACAGGAGGCCTCTGGGATTCAGTGTTCATCCTGCCTTTGATGGAACTTACACAGTGTTTTATGCAAGGCCCTCTGGGGGCCTCTTTCCAGGGGTCAGCACTATATTTTACTGGTAATCCTTTGGAAATTCTTTATGAGTTCGAAGGACTTTGGTGATTTGACCATCTGGTTATGTTAGGAGGCATTTGTGCTTGCAAAATAACTATCGCCTAGCCCACTATTTGAAAATAACTTATTTTAGAGGTGCAAGTAGAGGTTTTCAGTTGCAATATTAAAGCCACTCTGAAAAGGGAAATGTATTAATTATTTACCAGTTAGAAGCAAATCACTTAATATTTAATTTTATTTAAATGAAAGTGTTTAAACATAGTTTCCCACAACTCCTCTTGATTTTTAATCTAGTGCTGAGGCAATTCCAAAGTTTGTGACAAGTTTTCCCTTTAAGCCTGAGTGTGTGAGCCTCTGAGGACCAATAGCTTCTCATCAGAATGGCAAGCTCTAGCAGGACATTTAGGCTCTCCTGGAATTGAGAACTCACCAGGGCAGAGGCAGTTCATCCTGTAGAAAGAGGAGTCAGGGTCGTGAAGCAGATGGGGTGGGTTGGGCTAATGGGAACAGTAAGATCTAGGAGCAGAACAGAGTCTTCCATCTATGACACCTTCTTAGCGTCTCAGAATAGTGACAAAATGAGACTTCAGATCTCCTCTTTGACCCTCATCTCTGATAGTTGTTGGAGGATTAATTATTCATTGAACATATGTTATTGGGTGCCAGCAATATGTCAGGAATTGTTCTTGGCCTTGAGAATGCCAGGGTGCACACGACCAATTAATCCCAGTCTCTGTAATCAATAAAATAAATGCATAATTTCAGGCTGGATAAGTACCAGGAAGAAACACATGCAATAGAATACAGTGGCCCATGGATGCGTCGGGCAGTGCTCCATCCTGCGTGCCTCAGAAAATGCAGGCGGAGGCAAAGGAGAAGGGGTGCTTCCTTACTAAGGAGGGGAATCCTATGGAAGTGAGAGTGGAGCAAAGGGAAAAGAGGCAGGAAGCATGGAAACCTATATCCAGGGGTCACGCATGGAAAAACTTATCTACCCACTCCCACCTCCCTTTAGTTAAACCCAAGACGATCTCATGCCATGTGCCTCCTGGTCTTGCACACACATGGGTGCAGAGCCACTTGCTGAGGGACCTTGGTTGGGATAAGAAGAGGAATGTGATGAGGAGCTGTCAGGCTGTGCTGGCATGGATCTGACCAGTGCACAAAGGGCTGGTCTCAGAGACAGCAGCTGAAACAATCCCCAGTGGGCTGAGGTGCTGCAGTGAATGTGCACCCAGCTCAGCCTGCACCTCTCTGGTCTGCTTATGCCATACATTACATTTGACTTTCATAATACAATATGGGGCCTTAATTGTTTTTTAAACGATAAGATGTCCTCTCTTCTTTCCTGAAAAAACAGGTAGGAGGCAATTAGTTGCCTTGTTTTTACTTGGCCATGATTGCTGCAATTACCCAGTTCCTATTACTACACAAAGAAGCACCAAGAGAGGTTCAGGGAATCTTCTAGGGCCCAGACAAACTTTTTCCTGCCCCGATTGTACAGGAACAGCTCTCACACCTTGGAGTAGTCAGGGGTGATTCCCCTTGAGCTAAGTAACAAGTTTCTTTGTCTGCTGTTCCACAGAGACAAGGAGCCCAAAATGACCGGATCGTAGCCACAGATTCAAGATGGCAGAGACATTCATTTCTTGGGAATTAGAGCATATAAATCCATGGCACCTAAGTTAGTAGATGAAAATTTCAAATTTCTCAAGCAGGTCACTGTTTTAGATTGGACAAGTTACACTGCTTTCTGGAGGGGGCCACTCCAACCTGTACATGTTGTCTCCCAAAGGGACTTTTTAACTGAGTTTTTACATGTTACCACACAGTTCTATTAGACCAGCTGTATCTGGGTGATGCAGCTGGGTAAGACCAACACATTTCAGGTTAATGTGCCAATTTTTAGCTCTTATTTGCCATACAATATGCCCCTTGGTCTGGAGCAGCTTTGAATGGGGATGCCATATTCATATAACTTAGATTTCATAAGTCCTCAGATGGTAGGGTTGGTTGAGGCACTGTAGGCAGAGAAACAAACAATATGCAAATATGTACATGTTCATTCCAATAAGAACAAATCACTAATCACTTCAGGATGGAAAAGGCCATGAGGCTGGCTGTTTCAACATAGGGAGAATCCTATTTCAAGGTCACTTACGTGGTTGTTGGCAGGATTGAGTTATCCCTGGTTTTTGGACTGAGGGTCTTATTTCTTTGCTGGGTGGTTGATGGGGCCTCCCACAGTGGCTTGCCATGTGCAGCTCTTCTTAAGGCACCTCCAACATGGTATCTGGCCTTCCGCAAAGTGAGCAACTGAATGAGAGAGGACAGCCCAAGACCAAAGTCACAGCCTCTTTGTAACCTAATATCACAAGTGACATTCATTGCTTTTGCCATATTCTCTTTATTAGAAACCTTTTATTAGTTCCAGTCCACACCCAACAAGAGGGTGTTACATAAGGCTGAGAATACAAGGAGGTGAAGACTTGAGACCATCTTACAGACAACTGAAAGATACGATTCTCCTGAATGGTATTACCTAGGTTTTCTTCTAGGGTTTTTTATGGTATTAGGTCTAACATTAAGTCTTTAATCCATCTTGAATTAATTTTCGTATAAGGAGTAAGGAAAGGATCCAGTTTCAGCTTTCTACTTATGGCTAGCCAATTATCCCAGCACCATTTATTAAATAGGGAATCCTTTCCCCATTTCTTGTTTTTCTCATGTTTATCAAAGATCAGATGGCTGTAGATGTGTGGTATTATTTCTGAGGACTCTGTTCTGTTCCATTGGTCTATATCTCTGTTTTGGTACCAGTACCATGCTGTTTTGGTTACTGTAGCCTTGTAGTATAGTTTGAAGTCAGGTAGCGTGATGCCTCCAGCTTTGTTCTTTTGACTTAGGATTGTCTTGGAGATGCGGGCTCTCTTTTGGTTCCATATGAACTTTAAAGCAGTTTTTTCCAATTCTGTGAAGAAACCCATTGGTAGCTTGATGGGGATGGCACTGAATCTATAAATTACTTTGGGCAGTATGGCCATTTTAACGATATTGATTCTTCCTATCCATGAGCATGGAATGTTCTTCCATTTGTTTATGTCCTCTTTTATTTCACTGAGCAGTGGTTTGTAGCCATATGCATGGGCAAGGACTTCATGTCTAAAACACCAAAAGCAATGGCAACAAAAGCCAAAATTGACAAATGGGATCTCATTAAACTAAAGAGCTTCTGCACAGCAAAAGAAACTACCATCAGAGTGAACAGGCAACTTACAGAATGGGAGAAAATTTTTGCAATCTACTCATCAGACAAAGGGCTAATATCCAGAACCTACAAAGAACTCAAACAAATTTACAAGAAAAAAACAAACAACCCCATCAAAAAGTGGGCAAAGGATATGAATAGACATTTCTCAAAAGAGGACATTCATACAGCCAACAAACACATGAAAAAATGCTCATCATCACTGGGCATCAGAGAAATGCAAATCAAAACCACAATGAGATAGCATCTCACACCAGTTAGAATGGCAATCAATAAAAAGTCAGGAAACAACAGGTGCTGGAGAGGATGTGGAGAAATAGGAACACTTTTACACTGTTGGTGGGATTGTAAACTAGTTCAACCATTATGGAAAACAGTATGGCGATTCCTCAAGGATCTAGAACCAGAAGTACCATATGACCCAGCCATCCCATTACTGGGTATATACCCAAAGGATTATAAATCATGCTGCTATAAAGACACATGCACACGTATGTTTATTGCGGCACTATTCACAATAGCAAAGACTTGGAATCAACCCAAATGTCCATCAGTGACAGACTGGATTAAGAAAATGTGGCACATATACACCATGGAATACTATGCAGCCATAAAAAAGGATGAGTTTGTGTCCTTTGTAGGGACATGGATGCAGCTGGAAACCATCATTCTCAGCAAACTATTGCAAGAACAGAAAACCAAACTCCGCATGTTCTCACTCATAGGTGGGAACTGAACAATGAGATCACTTGGACTCAGGAAGGGGAACATCACACACCAGGGCCTATCACGGGGAGGGGGTGGGGGGAGGGATTGCATTGGGAGTTATACCTGATGTAAATGACGAGTTGATGGGTGCTGACGAGTTGATGAGTGCAGCACACCAACATGGCACAAGTATACATATGTAACAAACCTGCACGTTATGCACATGTACCCTAGAACTTAAAGTATAATAAAAAAAAAAGAAAAAAAAAAAAGAAAGATATGATTCTCTCTTCATCCTAAACATGAAAGCCTTAAGGCATTGCTCTAACAGTTCAGCCCAAAAAACAACTGTGAGTAAAGCAGTGAATAAATTACTTTGAGATTCAACTTTCATTAGCTTACTTCCCTGTTGATAAACTTTTAATGAGTCTAATTGTCTACACTACAGAAAAAAAACCCAATATACTGAGTTTAATTCAAGTACTTTTCTAAATGCCAAAATGCAGTAGCTTGTTTAAGTTGCACCATCAAGATCCAGAGGATGAGGGATACATTATGGATTTTATGAGCTTGGGCATTTTTGACTTGATAGACTACTAATATTTTATGTGTGTGCACTCTCTCTCACACACACACAACATATACATGTGTATAAACATATATGTGCATTTGTATATGTGGTTTTAAGACTGTATTGGTATAAAGACAAATATAATCCCTGTTGGATCGCATTCTTTTTGTTTTTACTGATTTAAAAAAAAAACATTAAAATGTTTTCCTAGGCTCCAAAAAGTGACATGGGTACTTCTTGGGGCAGATTAGATTTATTATCTTCTGAAAAGAATAAGTGCAAGAGTTAAGAGCATACAGTCTGGGGCAGACTGCCTAGTTTGAATCCAGCTCTGCCACTTACTCTCTGTGTGTACATTGGCAAATTCCTTGTCTGTGCCCTGTTTTCTCATCTATAATTTAGAGATAATGACATTACCTACCTGACTGCATTGCTGTAAAGGAGTTTTTACTTGCAAGGTAGGCAATATAACTGGTCATCAATAACTGATTTCTATCTCCTTTCAGGCACATGGGAAGGTTCTAATACCTTGACCAGTTTTAGTTAGGCACGGCCATATGACTTCATTTGGCTAAGGAAATATTAGTGGAAGATGGGTGGTACTTTTAGCTGAAAGCATTTATTTCTTGGTCTTGCCTCTCAATGTGATTTTTAATATAAACAAGAATATAAAGTATGAGCAATTAGTATTTTGTGTTTTTGTTTGTTTATTCACCATATGAAAAACTCTGTGCTAGGTACTTGCACGCAGATGCCCGTGACTACAGTCTTGGGTACTTAGGATGTATTTATCTTGTAGTGAGAGAGACACCAATGAAAATAACCAAGTAGTATACCAAAGGCCATGAGAAAGATGCAAACAAAATAATTTATCTTTACAAAGATATAACTAAAATGCTCTAAATTTGAGTGGGGTTAAATTGATATAATATCTAACACAGAACTTGAAAGACTAGCATGTTTGGAGTTTGGTTAGTAGTGTGAAAAAGAAAGCAGAAGCATTTAAGATGGAGAGAGGAGTGGTTAAGAACTAGAGATGGTTCTAGTACTTGTTGTTTTGTGAGAATGCAGATCAGGGAGGAGACTTGACTGCCAAAGAAGCTGATGTCTGAGCACAGGGGTCCTTATGGGGAAAGGGCTCTGCAAGAACCTCCTCTTGCCCTCTGTGTACCTTTTCTTGGGCAAGTGAGCTGCTCTATCCACAAGGGAGCTCTGTGGAGGCTGCACTTCTCTAAAGCCAACAGCCTTTTGCAGATGGTGCTTCCTTTCATTACAAGGAGCAGGGCAGGTTGGTGTCAGAGCCCATTTCCTACTATACTCAGGATCTGGTTAATTACCATCCCTTCTTTGTATTCTATATGTCATCCTCCAGCTCTGGGCTTCTCAGTTTTACTATTTCAAGAGACCTCGTGTGAGTGTCCCTGTCCCTAGACTCTCAGTTTTCTCTTGATATACTGTGAGGTCCTTGAGGACAGGTATCATGTCTGCCGGTTCCTAACTATAAACCCAGTCCTGAGCAAAGACAGTGCTCAATATATGCTTGCTGAAGGAATCCCTGAATAAATAGATTCTTTCTGTGCTACATTCTACTCCCAGGCTTATTTGATAAAGGACACCTGTGATGGTGCCACTTCCTTTCTCCCTGTTATCTATGGAATGTGGCCCTAATTCCTTCTTCTGACCTGCCATATTCTCTTTGCTCCAACTGCACTCCCTTTTACAAATCCTCCCACAGCAAATGCGACATGGACCTCATCTTCTTACGAGCCCATCTTGGAAGTAATGGTGTCTCTCGAGAATTTGGGAAGTATATTGTAGTCACAATAGTTACATTTCTTTGAGCACTTATAATGAACTGTCTATGATGTTGATAATATGAAAAACTTGCCTAATAAGTCTATGCCGGTAATGGGAAGAGACAGGTTGTAAATGCAAGCAGTGTGAGGTCAGATTTCAGCCTAAACCCTACACCAAAATGGACTTGTTATGTAAATTGACAATGTCAAGAAGCTCAAAATTCACAACCTGGCAATATATGTTGTTAGTGCATATTCAAACCACTAAAATACAGACTTTCTCTCATTCCATTGCTGGAGATATTCTTCTCAGCTGTCTATAGGCTCAGATCTAAATTCTCATAGGGATATTCAAAATCATTCATGATATGGCTGTAATTTACCTGTCCAGTCTTACTTCCTCTATTCCCTCAAATCATTCATATTAGTACCGAGCAAACTAAGTGCTGCACACCACTTCAGCTGTCCACCTTAGCTCATATTGTTCTCTTTGCATGAAAATCCCTTCCTTCATTTTTATACCCGGTATGACTTTATCGGTCCTTCAGGGCCCACCTTAAATGCTAGCTCTCCTGAACACTTCCTTGTTTCACTCTAGAATTAACCTCATTTATTTGTATCTATACCTCCTTGTTTCCTTTTATCATATTGTCTGTTATTTATGCAAACACATACATAAATATCCCATATTAGTCTGTAAACTCTTTGAATCTAGGGACAATGCAAATGGAAATCCTAAGAACTACAAACTGCATTACAAAAGGCCTATTCCACATAGGAGCTTTTGACCCTCCCGCCCCGGACTCCTGCATGCTCCTGATGTTACTGTCCCTCTCTATGCATAGGAAAACATCTCAGGGGAGTTGTCTATCCTGCCTCAATTCATACTGCTACTTCTACCGATTAGAATGCCTCCCACTCATCTCAGAACATCTTGTTAAAGTGGCAGTGGCTTTTACCTTCCTAGGCCAAGACCAATTCTCTTTCCAATGTTTATTCAGCCTCTTACCAGCATTCGATGCAACTGTCTGCTCCCTCCATCCTGAAGTGCAGTCTAGTTTTCGTTTCTGTCATGACACATTCTCTTTTAGGTTTTCTTCCTAGTGAATTAGATGCTCCTCTGTAAGTATCTGTTGCTTGTTTCTCTCCCTTGGGTCCAATAGAAATGTTGGAAGTTTCTGGGTAACATTTATCAGTTCAAGACCCTCTTCTCTGCTATAGCCATACTCTTTTCTAAGTTGATTTTATTTGATCCAGTGACACTAAGCAATGAAGACTAAGAACGCTGTGATTCCAAGCATTCCACCAGTGTAGCCTAGGAAACCTTTTATGGCCTGTGCCACAATGTCTGCTCGACCCTGGGATGCTGACCTTTTTCATTCAGAAAGCCAGGCTCTCTATAATTCAAAGGTTCAAGATCTTATTTGACGGCAGACTTGTAGAGATCTAGTTGGAGAAATAAATGGCATGTAGTACTTGCTTCTCTTAGAGATACCAAAGCAGAGCATACAATATTTGTCCTGGTTGGCTTCTCCAATGATCTTCTCCACCACACAAAGGCTTGAGAATGTACATTTGACAGCAGCTCATCTCCTTGAAGGAGCTCTACACTTAGTAAATCTTAGCAAAGTCAAATACAGGCACATGCTGTACTTTTTAAATCATGCAAATTAAATAAAATGTTCATTGCAGTTATGATGTTTTCACAACTTCTAAAAGATATGTGGTTGCCTGTGCAGAGCTGATTGTACTTATTATCCTTTTTGTGACTATAACTGTCAGTTTACCTAGCACTTGGGTTATTAAGCAGATTATTACTACAATTTTAGAACTAACTATTAGCATATATTTAGGAAACACTATTATGTTTCACAATATGAAGCAAAAGAAATGGATTCATAATTGCAAATTAAGCTATGCTTTAAGGAATAAGAATTTTTTGAGGAATTAACTAAAACAAATATTTTACAGATTTTAATTGCCAGTCTAATCACTTATTTTAAATACATTCCACTTTAGAAATCTCCAATGACTTTGTGCTAATAACATTCCAGTGGATTAGTGAGAAACCATTTAGGGAGAAGTCACTGAATGGTATTCCAAGATCCAAAAGTAAAGTAAAAGAAATAAACTCAGATGCCCTTAATTTCATCAGGAAATATTCACCTGGCATCTGTGGCTGCACAGAGTTTGAATCTTGGTGCCACATGTCACCTGTGATTGAATCTGCTGGGGCAAGGGGAGGGGGGCCATCTGCGTGTTTCACTCAGTGAAGATCCCATGGGAGGTCCAACAGGACACGAGCCCTTGCTTGTCCCAATATGACACAGAGCTTGCTGGTGATGATCATGTTACTGTTTATTTAGACAGACTTTAGTTGTAACTGAGAAGCATTTTGGGAAACGGGTATAATTTGGAATAGATGGTGGGTTGGATCTTAGCTCCATGTTAACATTGTAATTTTTTTCCGAAATTTTAAATTTCTCTGAGCCTAAATTTTCTCCAGTGTGACATAGAGACGATGAAGTGCCACCCGTGTACCCCTGGCATCTCATGTGGTGGAGGACTAGAGCCTGAGAGGAAAGGAGCACATTCCCCAGAAAGGGATACATTCTTTATCCTTTTAAAGAATTTTCTTTAATTTAGTTAAATAAATCAAAGAATTTATTTTCTTTAATTTAGCTGAAGAAAACATGCTGAATCACACATGAGCAGGGTAGGGTACAGAGAGGACTGGATATGGAGTCATAAAAGTGCTGAAGGAAGGTTGCCAGCTAATTTGCTATTCTTTGGGCATATTTTACCTCTGAGAAAGATGGAAAGAAAGAAAGGAAGAAAGAATGAAGGAAAGAAGGAAAGAAAGAGGGGGAGGGAGGGAGGCAGGGAGAGAGGGAGGAAGGAAGGAAGAAAGGAAGGAAGGAAGGAAGGAAGGAAGGAAAGAAGGAAAAATAATAGATTAGATCACTGTTATTCAAATACCTAAGGCCATTGAAGAATGAATGTCTGATTTAAGATGTACTATGGTTTACCAATGCATACTTAGATTTTTAAAAAGTGTCCTGATGAATCCAACTACTAAAGTTAATTTGCACTTAAAGTCATCATATATACTACTTTTAATATGAAATGATTCTTCAAATTAGTTGCAAACAAAGATTTGACTTTAACTTCCCGCAGAGGCTTTGGGGGAAAACTCATGTTTCACAGAGATTTTTCTTGTAGCTCTTCAGGCCACCCCCCGGAATACAGCCATGTGCCCACAGGGTTTATATTCCTAAATTTGAGAAGCACTGTGTGAGAAGATTTCTAAGTCCCCTCCCAGCTCTAAATTCTGTTCAGTTTACGTGTGGAGAAAACATTAAAATGAAACCCAAAGGAAGATTAATGCCTTAGTGGAAAGGTGTAATTTAAAGGATCACTTGAGCTGGAAAGGAGGGTGGGTAGGAAGTAATTAACACCAACAAATTACATCCTATCAGATGGTACAACCAAGGGATATTTCTAATGTATGCCTGATTGCAATGGATATTACCTGATATAGTGAAACATGACCACAGGCTTTGTTTTGTTTTAGTTTATTTGGCCAATAAACCCTGGGCAATCAGATAATCTTGAAGGAAATGTATGTACCACCTTGCAGAACATTTCAATGTAAAGAGAAATAAAAATGACATAGCAGGATATATAACTTGGAACTAATTCTGTGTCTTTTTTATGAATCAAACCAAGCTAGCTATTGGATCACTGATATGTTTATCCAGCAGGGGTTGAACTCTGTATTCTATACAAATATTTTAATGAGTTAGGTAATGGAGCAGGCCTTGTGTTATCATCTAATGAAAGAGAAATGAAAGTGATGCAGTTATTAAATATTTTTCTCATTTGGAAGATAGACCGGGGAGACTATGGATATAGCGTAAAGAGTTATAATAGAAACATGCATGACATGTGACAAAAGCCCCTAAGTGTAAACTAGGTTATTGTATTCGGAGGAGACGTAAGATTTGTTCAGAAAGGAAAGATTATAGGTTGAAATTTGAAGAAACTTTTGGAATCTAATCATGTATTAAACTACTGTTATGGGTAAAAAAGCTTTCCAATAAAAGGGAATAGTATGCGAAGCATTTAAGAAATATTTCTCAAAATTAGTAAAGTCTAACTTTTGAAATGTTACTGTTATAAGGTGCATATAAAAATGAATATGAGGCTAGAGAGATAGACCGAAAAGGCCTAGATAACACAGGCTCTTTTAGGAATTTAGTAATTTTAAAATTGAAGCAATATGCTGATATTTATCTTTAGAAAGATCTCTTGGGAAACACAGAAGCTACTCTTTGGAAAGGGATCTTTAGAAGACATTGTTCTGTGTTTAGGCAAGACACAATAATTAAATAGCTATGAGGATGTAAAAATATGGGCCAACTTTATAGTTCTTTCGAGTTGAATCAACAAAACCTGGTGACTAGCGCAACGTGAAGGATGACATCAAGGAAAGCCAAGCCCCGTGTGACAACAATGTGTCCCACTTGCTCACTGCTGTAGGCTCATAATTTAAAATAATTTTTAACTCACAATAGGCCCTTAGTAATATCTGTTAGGTTAAATAATAAATGAGGAAATAATTTGAATATATTTTGATATTTACTGAGGGAATATGAGGGAGAAAAGATGACAGAGGAAATATGAGGTGAAGAGTTATGGGTAATCTGGAAGAAGTTGTTCAAGAAACAAGCAGAAATAATGATCCAGAAGTTTCCAGTTTTGATAACAGTGAAGTGAGTATGTAACACACTCTATAGCATGTAATGACAAAATCTCTGAACAAAATATTTTTGAAAACTCAACTACTTGCAGATACTTGAAAGTGAACTAAAGCAAGCAGGATATGGACGTTATCTGACCATTGAAAGAAGGAAATGGAATTGGGAAAGATCCATGTTTATAAGTTTTTTACTTGAAGAGACTTTTCACTAAGGGCTATGTTGAAAATAGGACTCAAGAAGAAAGCCACAGTAACTAGAACGTTAGAGGTCAGGGGAAGGAGATTTAAATCAACAGAGAAGCTGAAAACGGAGAGGTGGAGATCTAAAATAGGAGAGAATTAAACTTCAGTTGGATGATTAAAACACTGGAGCAAATATGTCAACTGCTACCTATCTCTAGTGTTTTAACCATCCAACTGAAGTTTCTCACTAATCTCAGAGTCCCCATCCACATGCACAGTTCAATAGTTAGCCAGTGCTGCGAGAGGAGTTTATATGGAGATTTGGAAACTCCCTCTTTTTAATTCTCTCCACATAAAACACTATCAAGCACATTTTTGGAGTCCCAGAAAGAGAGAAGATGATTCAGAAATTGAATTCAGAAAACAAAAAGTTTCATAAAAAATAAAATTGAAGAAATCAAGAAAAAAAAAAAAACCCCAGCCACATTTGGTGAAAACAGTCTTTCTCAAATTCAAGAAACTCATCAAATCCCATGCAGAAAGAAAAGAAAAGAAAAGAGAAGAAAAGAAAAGAAAACAAGGAATAAAACCCACCTTGGTCTATCATAGCTAAACTGATAAAAACCAGCGATAAAGAGAAAATATTGAAAGAAACCAGAGGGAGAAAATATTCATCTTACAGAGGGGAACAGCAATATAGATAATAACTTACTTCCCAACAGAATCACTGAGGGCCAGAATGGAATGGAAAAACATCTTTATGATACTGAAAGAATAAGAGCTGTTGAAAATAATTATATATTCAGTAAAAATATCATTTAAAAATAAAAGCAAAATAAATTCTTAGGTAAAAAAAAACTCATATAATTCATTGCCAGCAGTGTTGCATATAAGAAATATTTAAAGGTCTTTTTAGGTTGACCACCAAATGGAAGCTAGACACTCAGTTTCACATACAGGAATGAAAAGTATTAGAAATATCGATAAGAATAAGAGACATTCTTCTGTTCTTCTCTTAATTTTTTAAAAACACAGTTACTGTTGAAAATAAAATGTAATATTTTGTTGTGGAATTTATAGCATATGTAACTGTAAAATGTATAATAACAATATTAGAAAGAACATGAGTGTCTTTTAAATTATGTTGTTTCAAGGTTCTAATATATTACATACAGTAGTATAATATTAACTCCAAGTAGATTACAAATAAACTGAGGATGCATAATTTACACATAGATATCTAATGTAATACAAAAAATATATAACCAAATGTCTTTAGAGGACTATAAAATGAAATATTAAAAATGTCTTATTTCT